GATAAACTCATTAATGTGATTTTTCATGCTGATAAACTTATTGGTGTTGCATACTTCTCAGATAAGGCTTCAGTCTCTTCTGCTCTGGAATTAAGTTTAACTGTTAATGGAAAGTCTATGAAGTTAACTCCTGCCCTACTGATTTGGGCTTCATTTTTTGCGACACACAGCACTGACGATACAAAAGAAGATGCTGATATTTCTGCAAGCCGTTTTGCAGACAACGAGGAACTGAAATATTCTCTCCGTTCAGTTGAAAAACATGCACCATGGGTTAGAAACATTGTTATTGTTACAAATGGCCAATTACCCTCTTGGCTAAACTTAGATAATCCACGGCTTAAAATAGTCACCCATGAAGAGCTTTTTCTGAATAAGAGCCATCTTCCGACTTTTAGTTCCCCAGCTATAGAGGCCCATCTTCATCGAATCCCTGGGTTGTCGCCAAAGTTTATATATCTTAATGATGATGTCATGTTCGCTGATGACGTATGGCCAGATGACTTCTACACCCATGCTAATGGACAAAAGATCTATTTAACGTGGCCTGTCCCAAACTGTAACGAGGGCTGTCCATCATCATGGGTAAATGACAAGTACTGCGACAAGGCTTGCAATGTTTCAGAATGCGATTGGGACGGGGGAGACTGTATTGGTATCAAGCGCAAGACACAGTGGAATTACCAGGGGTGGCAGAGTCAGCACTCCAGTTATCGCATACAGTTTTGCTCTCCAGGATGCGCGGATACCTGGGTGGGAGATCGTTACTGCGATGTAGCTTGCAATGTTGCTCAGTGTGGATTTGACGCTGGCGACTGTGGAGTCACTCAGTTCAGTGAGTTACATCACATAGATGTTGATCAAAACACTCGCACGGTTGATTTACCTCGAGGTGTATCTGTGTTGTATTTTAACATTTCAAAAGTGTTTGGTGGAGGGAAGGTCATTTCTGGGAGTATTCTACGACCCCATGTGTGCGCTCAGCTACAGTGGCTCAAAAATATAAAGTTTTTACTCTTAGTTTTCGAGTAAACTGTACGTCAACAGGTGTCAGCTTCATGATTGAAGGATTTAGTGATAAGAATGAAACAAATAAGTGGTCGTCAAATTTAATGCAACTATAGATACAACGCCAACAGATGAGATCAAGTCAGTTCCTATTACAACAACTCCAAAACCCAGCAAATCGTCGACGACAGGAGTGCCATCTGTGACACCATCTTTGGATGAACCAAAACTTCCGAGGACTATTTACCCAATCAGGATTCAGAATGCTGATCGATCCTTCAATTACTGGGTGGTTGCTAACGAGTCTGTCCATAGACCAACATGGTCACCGTTAGGTGACAAAGATTATGACATACCATGGCTTTCAAATGATACAGTTTTACCAGAACATGTTCAAAATGCACTGGCAAATGTAGAGAAAGGATACAAGGATGGAGACTTGACAGAGAAAGGCTACGCAAGAAAGAAGGCCAATATTTTGCGTGACTTTCTTACTGTGGTTGCTACTGAGCCAAGTCACATAGCTGTTGCTATGCTAACATCACCCTTACCTGAAACAGAAGTAGAAGTTACAGTCCCTTCCAAGTTACATGGGAGACAACAGGTTTGTAGTACAAATCTTTGTTATTTTGTTATTTAAAGAGAGAAACTCAAGTCTAATACATTCTGTCGAAGGGGTTATGAAAAAATAAGGTGGCTCTAAACCCCATCAACAGTTCAGATTTGCAAAGAAAAGAAGAGTGAAAAATATAATATTAATTAACCCTCTAAACCCCAACAACCAGCTGTGATTATTTTGCAACTTCTCCCATATAAAAGCGACGGGTGATCGTCAAAAATTTTGAAAAGAGCCCCTAAAAGGTACCAAAATCTAATTTTGTGGGTGTGGCTCGAATATATTTTTACCTCTGAGAGGTACCAATTCTAAGTCAAAACTTGTTCCTGTCATGTTTTTTCTCGACTTAATACCCTAACAGGTACCGGAATAACTCTAACGGTAGTAATTTTATAATTCAACACCCTAAGCGGTACCAAACCACAAATTTTAACCCCTAATAGGTATGACGATCACCCCCGTCACTTTTATATGAAAGTCCCCTGCCCGGGCAAGCTACACTGTACTTGTAAAAATAATTCTGAGTTCTCCCAACTGGAGAAAAACATATGGCCGCCTGGCACACCGGTCACGGCAGATGCTCTACCACTGAGCTACATGTACAGGACTAATAGTATCTTCTCCTCGTTATTTAATTTTTTTTTGTCTTTTATTTTTTACTTGTAGGAAAAAGAAGCAGCAAAGAAGCAGAGAAACCGAGAAGAGTTCTGAGCCTGCAGGAAATCACAAAGCAGAATCACATTCACATCAAAGAAAACTGTTGTCCTTAGAGATGTCGGAAATAGCTGCTATTGCTAATGATATTGGAAAGCAGGACAATCAAGATCCTAATGAGATTTTAGAACAGAAAACCTCAGACGATGACCTCTTTTTAGCTGACTGGATTGCAAATACTAAGCAGAAACAGTTGTCGTTTGAAAATGACCAGTTAGAGAGTAACAGGCAGTGGAAAGCACGCTATGGTCACTGGTCACCACAAATTCTGCAAAGCGCAACAAGTTTTCTCCCATGGGAACGGCGTAGAACATTTGATCAGCTACAAAAATACAGCGAAAGATGGAAACACTCTCAGGAATACACAAATTATCATACACCAGGCAGAAAATTGATGGACACTTTTGCAAATTCACTGCTTCATGTCCACAGGATCTATAACCGAAAGTTTGGGTACATGGGACGCAAAGTGCCAGCCCACATGCCACACATGATTGATGTCAAGATTATGGAAGAGCTACAAGCCCTTTTACCTGAAGAGTTTGACAAAACGTCCTCCCACAAGCTTCGGAGTTCAGATGACATGCAGTTTGCGTTCTCCTACTACTACTTTGTGGTTGGACAGAAGAGATGTGCAAATGTCACGCAGTTCTTTGCTGAGGTGGATGCCGATCATTCAGGTTTGTATCCATAGGTTTACGTATATTTTAGTTTTAATTATTCATAATCACCCGTGTTGTTGTGTCCATTCCCCCTCCTCACCTTATAAAAGGTAACATCTGATCCAATAGTAGGGATTGGAGGAGCAAGAAGTCTTCCTTTCTCTTCTCTACTTTATACAGAAACAAAATTACTACTTTAATTTCTTTGTTCTACGCCATTATATAAATTGATAATTTTCTTCTTGTTATTTATTACTAAAACCCTACTGTTAGCTACCCTTATTATAATTTGTTTTTCGTCACCTCCCGCCTCGAATAGCCCTGCTAATTTGCGGGAGGTGAAAATCTATGTACTTTAACCAAAGAATTAATACAGCTTGTTGTTGTTGTTGTTGCTTGTTGTTGTTGTTGCTTGAAGTGCTCCTCCCTCTGGATGGGATGCTAGTGAAATGTTACCCAAGAACAGGGCTTGAACCCAGACCCTCTTGATCCACAGTCCAATAAACATTGGGCCACTGCAAACCCCACCCCCACCCCCTTGCTCTGCCCCGCTCCTCAAAAAAGTGACATTATTCAAATTACTATCGAAAATTTAAGGTGGCTCTGAATTCCCCCCGCAGAATTTTTTTAAACTTTGCAAAAAGTTGTATCTTAACATGCTGATCATTATTCAATTATAAAAAATGGGGGTCACCGGGCTCGTTTTTGAGTTATAAGCACTTAAAGCTAAAAATAAGGGTGTTTTTGACAGGTAATACTGTTGCTATGGTAACCTATTATGTCACAAATATTATCATAACTTGTTCACCGATGATTAGGCAATCGTTTGACACCTTTAATTTAACATCAACTGATATAAGATGGTAGTATCGATCAATCAAAGCGTAAGGGCTGTAAACCGTTACCAGCCACCTTAAATAATTTCCCCCATTCATTGTACAATATTAAATTTATAGGATTTTTTCTTTCTTATTCAGGAAATTTATCAGACCGAGAGCTGCGCACTCTGGCAACAAGGCTGTACACATTGCCGTTGGACCTAAATGATCTGAATTCTCTTGAGCAAACGTTGTTGAAGTGTGCTAACACGACTGTACCAGAGACGAATACATCTGATCCAAGTCAACAAGTAATACTGCCGTCAGTTTCATTAGAGTTCCTTCAGCAGTGTGATCCCTTGTTGAAAATGTTGAATGATTCTTACAAGGATGTCACAAAGTACAAGTTTGAGACTCTTGGAGATGAAGATGTCGCATTCCACATGATTCGTGATAATGCGTCGGCAGTTCTGCACCAGTTGGATGCTATTAGAGGAAAGAAGAAGAAGTTTGTTTGCTTGAATGATAACATAGACCACAGCAAGAAGGACGCAGAACTCATCAAAGCTCTCCTGGTGGATTTCTACCAATCTCTTTTTCCGATTCCCTCGCAGTTTGAACTGTCCCAAGAGTACAGGAACAGATTTCTTCGTGTCGGTGAACTGACTGAATTTATGAAGGAAAGAGAAGTGGTTAAATTTTGGACAAATATCTTAATAGTAATTTTAGTTTTAGCTGCATTTTTTTCAATTTTCCCAGGGGTTTTTTTCTACTTGGTCCAAGTATTGTGTCCTTTAAGAAGACTTTTTTCTTTTTTCAAAGAAACAGCTCCTCGACTAGTTCACGTCTAATGACTGTGTAGGATATTTGAAATTTGTACAAAAAGCACAGGGGCTATCACATCAAATTAGAGATAATAAATGAGGTTAATCGTACTGCATTGTCGTGGGAGATGTGTTGGCCTGGGTCCCAACGAACTGTTAGGGAAACCTGACAAAATGCTGGGGTGTAACCTGCAATGGACTTGCAATACTTCCAGTCGGCCTCATGCTATGTAATCCGGGACAAACTCTGGCAATATGGGCCAGTTTGGTCCGAGTGTGGTTTACCTGACCTTACCTGCATTGTTGTGTAGTTGCTGGCATGGTGACGATTTTTACTCCTACATGTTCAGCTGAGGGAGACGTGGTGGCCTAATGGTTAGCGTGTTGGACACATCCTGATCGAGCGGTCCAGGTTCGAGCCCTGGCTGGGGTCAGTGTTGTGTTCTTGGGTAAGACACTTAACTCTTGCAGTGCCTCGATCTCTCCACCCAGGAGTATAAATGGGTAAAAATAAAAAATAAAAAGTATAAATGGGTACCGGCGAACTGTAGGGAAACCTAACAAAATGCTGGGGGGGGGGGGGGGATGCTAGTCCAATGTCGGGTGACACTACTCCTAGTTGGCTTCATGGTACAGAAACCGGGATAAGCTGTGGCAGTGTGAACGTCCTTACTTCCAGACCAGTCACACCAGCTGACCACATAAAAAACAACATTCAACAAGTTAATTATTTTCTCTAGTTTGATGCGAGAGCCCATCTGCAAAATAGTTTTATTGATATTAAGTAATTTTTTTAAATTTTAAATTGAATTGCATCTTGCAGTTTTCTTTTCTTGCTGTTCAGTAGCTTTCATTATTTTGAATGGCAACACACTAGCAGGGCTGCAAATAACAGTCGGTCATCTGACAATGGCCGACCAAAATTTGCCAATGTCTGATGAAATACCAACTTTGGTCGGCAATTTTTTTTTGCCTTCCAACGCAAACACTAATGAGTTTTATTATAAACGCAAACTACAAGTAGTTTACTCTGCGATGACAACACGTTAAATTAGCAGGTTCTCTTATCAAGCAGTACTGTAATATGATGTCCGACCTCATTTTTGTTTTGTCCGACCAAAATGGTGACTTAGTCGGACACATGTACTTTCAAGAAAAAAAATATTTGCAGCCCTGCACTAAACAGTGTTGTTATCATGGTAATGAGTATTGAAAGTAAGGATGTACAAGTAATGTTGAACCTGAGTTAAACTTTCAATAAATTAATAATTTTTAGTTAGTCAATTAAATTTATTTTCAAGGTGGACTCTTTATATTTAATGAAAAATGAGTTACCACACATTGATGGAGTAATACTACATGGATATAATTTCTCTAGTTTGTAGGCGACTAGTTCGTGTCCTATTTAATTATGTATTTGAAAATTGAGGATTGAACAAAATATCATCACAAAATATTTTCTAGGTATCAGATCTTGTACAAGTAGCAGAAGAAATTTGATTATTTGCAGTTATCATGCTTGAAGCTATTTATACCAAGATTGAAGCTATTATTATACCAAGATCATATTCACTGCAAATAACAATAATTATTACTAAACATTATTTTTAATATTTGAGCTAAATATTGGATAGGTGTTATTTAATCCTGAATGTATTCAAACAAGATAACCTGAAAGGATGATCTTTCCTGACCATACATTTTGACTAATTAGCTTAATACGATTAAAAATCAGCTCAATAAACCAGGCAAATACTACAAGTGAAACAACAATCACACAATCTTTGGGTGAAGGATTGTGTGACAAGTGAAAAGAACACCTCCGTACGAGGCTGAAGTAAAATTAAATTTAACCACTCTGATCTACCAAGTTTGAAAGGATAAAAACCTTTAAAAGCTGTGAATAGTTAGTAGTAAAATTTAATAATTACAGCTATAAATATTTGAATAATAAAAGACTGAAAAATTATTTGGAATGACTTGTTTTCTTTGGAGCACCAGACATTTATATTTTATGAACTAACACAGGCTAATCATCCACTAGTTTGAGACACTTGTACAATGATTATACAATGGCAATGCCAAATAATAATTTTATTATTTAGCATCATAGGTCCGCAATGCATGCAAAGATGGTAGATAATATTATCGTCATAGGTCCACAATGCGTGGGAAGATGCTAGATAATTATTTAGCGTTATAGGCCCATAATGCATGCGAAGACGCTAGATCATAGGTCCGCAATGTGCGTGAAGACGCTAGATGATTATCGTTAAAACTCTGGTATCTCATAACCCTCCACCTCCCTTTTACAACACAGTAGTAGAGAAGGAAGCAAATACACTTACAATGCAGATTTCATAGAAACTTTAATTTGCAAATAGTTACCATTACAGCTGTAATAAACCATTGATAAATGGATTAGAGGGAAAATATAGATGCCCTTTCACATTATCTGCATTTTTCCGCAAAGGAACTAACATATACTGTATACAGCTAAAAACAAAAACCATAAAATTAATTCCCTTTTCAAGAGAAGGAAATTTTATTTAAAATATATGTACATGTGCATTTATCTTGTCTGGTCTGGGTCTATAAGTACGTTGTAATTATTATTATAAATACATTCCCCAATGTAAGGAAGCCTCAAAGATATAAGTAGCACATCTTGAGGAAGAACCTAATAGAACCAAATTGTAAGCTGAGTAAAACAGTTGTCTTTCTTCGTATGTTCAATTCAACCCCTGCGAGCAAGTTGATAGTTGAGTGGGAAAAATCCATATTAAGTCTGACTGGCAGACTCATGCGTGAAAAATTCAAACCTGAACAATAATCAGCTAATAATCAATCAGACATGACGCAGGTCTCTGAAAAGTTTAATCAAAATTGAAATTTTGGGGATTGGATAGATCTTGGATGTCTTTCTTGTGCGATAAATTGAGTGAGCCAAGAGAGTGGGAGGGGCAGGGGGCGTGAACCTGTGAGTAAAAGGGGTGGGAAGTCTGGTTGGCGGGAGAAGAATAGGGGGGAAGTGGGATTCCCAAGGTGGTGGGAGCTGGGAGAAATAGTAAAAAAACTTGGCAACAATGCATAATATTTTGCAATAGAAAAGCACAAAGAGGCGGCAATTACAACGGAAGGGTGGGAACCGGGAGTACAATGTATGGGAAGCGGGAAGTTCAGACCCCCCTCCCCCCCAAGAGAGACGTCAGCTTACTCAGGCTAAACAAATAATTTGTTTGTTGACTCTGAATTATCTTTAATATTCTATTACTCTGACTACAGTATTATTTAATGTATTGCACTTTTATAATCTACTTTCCATAATCTACTAAATTAATGTATTGTTAAATCTACCAGCCATTTGTAAAAATACTTAAAACTGCCTAAACACTCTTTTGTTTCCTTTTACCCTGTCAATGCATATTATATTGTACATATACACTTCCGAAAATAAGTCCTAGACCTATATTAATTTTTGTTCACAAGGCCTTTTCTTGGTATTAATTAAGAGCAATATCAGAAGGAACTTGCAACTAACACTGACATTAGCTATTCCAGGTGCTTACATTTTACTCCTTTCAGTAACGAATCTATTCTTCATTAAATAGGCTGTTATATATACTAGCAGTAATCACAATTTTATATAAATGTATAGACATTTGCTGTGGTTTATCGCCATTATTAAATAGCTGTGTCATGATTATAATATATAAAGTCATTTTTGTGATGTACAAAATTACTTTCGAATAGTCCATTTTACAGTTGTGTGCTTAGAATCCAGGCCTTTGAACAGAAGTGAGGCTGGAGGTGACTTTGTTGTGATACAAACCTTCCTTCTTTTCAAATGTAAATTATTCTGTTATTATGTAAACTAGTTTTGGATCTCTATCATCTCATGGTCACCCCTAACCTCGCTTTCATACACAGGCTTGGTTACATTTTCACAGAACTATGAAATGGTCTGTTGAAATAATAGTTTACTAAGGTAGAAAAACACCAAAGAGGTAACAAGCAACCAAACAAGAACAAGGATGGTTAAGGATGGAGAAGATTAAGATGGATTACAAATGGTGAACTTGAAACATTTAGGCTACATTTTTTAAGATGCCAAACCGTGATGCAGCTCCCTTAACTATTTACCAAAAATTTTATTAGATTGCAACCTTGAAGTTTCAACCTTCCTGATTTAATAATCTTCATCTGGGGCTATATTAGCGTCTTCTCCAATTTCTGAATACTGTCTGACCAGACCATCGTCACTGTATGCTTTGTGTTGTACTCCGGTTCGCTTAAGATCATCAGCCGTATCTTCACTGGCCTTGTTTATATCACTTGAGTAAATGCTGCTTGCATCGCGCTGCATTGCGGACTTACTTTCTACGGAGATATCAGGTGCACCCTATGTACCAATGAGAAGAAAACTCGTAGAGTGAATATGGTGAAATTCTCTAATTGTACAGTTGTGTTTATCGGTCAAAGTGTCAAAAATCAAATATGGACATCCCGCGATAAGGGAGCTGACCTCACCTCATCCTGCAATGAATAGATATTGCTTCAAATTAACACTATTGGTACTACAAGTACAAAGTACTACATGTAAGTAAAAAAGGCATTCTGGTTGAAAAGGGGCCTACATGTAACTCAGTGATATGCTATGCCTTATTGATTTGATGTGTACCGTATTTTCTCTAAATTAACTGAGTAGCTTTGGGAAGGGTTCAAACCTCCAAGACATTTAAACTGTTCTTTTTCGGCCATTGAATAAGGGCGGTGAATTTAAGGGGGTGTTTGAACAAGAGGAGGCATTTATTCGAGTCAATATGGTACAAGCTAATTAACAGATATTTACTGAGCTGTATTATTGTTTTCAATGAGTAAAATAGAACAGAATTAGAGCTTGCATGGGTACTTTACAGCAAAAAGCTTAAAAATCACTAGTCAAGAGTATTATCTGTGAACTCTCTAATACAGAGCCTTGTATACCTGCCAACTTTTCCTAAGTCGACTGCGTGTGATTTTCGTATCCATATTACCCGAATTTCCGAAAAATTTCCGACGACTTCCGAACATTGCCGAAGATGTTCCGACGACTTCCGAACATTGTCGAATATTTCCGAGGATGTTCCGATGATTTCCGAAGGCTGCCGAATGTCGCGGTGCGAAGCTAAAAATCTCGGCGCGATCTTGCTTGTTTATATTTAGGACTCAAACACGACATTTAGCGACCTTCATTGGACTATTTTGGGTGGAAATTGAATACAATTTTTCACGTTAATGGTTAATGAACAAGTAGTCCGGAATTGTGAGTCAGGCGTGTGAAATTGTCTTGTATGCGTGTGATCGATGTTTTGATCTGCAGGCGTGTGACACACGCACAATGCGTGTGAGTTGGCAGGTATAAATCTTGCGCCTTCATTGTCTGCATTACAGA